GGCCGGGTTGGGTTGGGCTGGGCTGGGCCGGGCCGGGCGTCAGGCCCTGGCCGGCTGACCCGGGCGACCCGCCGCGCCCTCCAAACTCGAATTAGTCATTTCAAGGCTGCAGCACCACGCCCCGGCCGCGCATTCTTGCACCTCGCGCTGTCCGTCTGTCTGTCTGTCTGTCTGTCTGTCTGTCCGTCCGTCCCGCAAGCGCCGCCATTACAGTGGAATGCGGCCCCGATGCCGCGATGCCCCGATCCGCGGCGGACGCGTATATTTATTAGTGTCACTCGCCGCGACACGGGCCAGTGCGTGCAGGCACACTGGCTGGCTGGCTGGCTGGCAGGCACCGCGCAGCACCGCGACCAACATCGCGGCAACCGAGTCCGCCATCCAGCGGCGGCAGCGGGATTCGAACCGAGGCCGAAGCACCGTCGATTATTTAAGACTCCGTCGCGCTCCTCGTGACAGACGCCAGCCGTGTCCGCGCCGTGCCCTCTGCCGTCTCCATGGCAACGCGGGCGAGCGGACGGACAGACAGGCGGACGGACAGACGGGCGGCGGCGAGGCGCAACTATCCGCGGACTCGGTGCGGACAATGACCGGTGGCGTGGCGTGGCGTGGCGTGGCGTGGCGTGGCGGGCCGGAGGAGAGGACGCAGCGGACCACGGCGCCGCCTGGCACGCCACGCCTGGCACGCCAGACACGGCCAGGGAGGGGAAACCTTGGCCTAGGGGCTTTTCCTGGTTCCGCGCCTCTTCCAGTGCCGTGCCTCGTCTTCCAGTCCGCCAGTGTGCCCGCCCGGCACCTGGAATTGGAGAAAACGGCGACAGGACCACACGCTCACGTGCAGCCCGGCCCCGTCTGCGTTCCGCGAATAGTAAGTGGCCGTCCTCTCGATGCGCGCAGCCTTCTGTGAATCCGCGGCGCGGACACCGGCCGCGTGTCGCCGCACAGTGGGCCAGAAGACCGGTGGAGGCGGACAAAACTCTAGACGCGTTTGGAGCTCCAGAGTCTCTAAACAGGCCTCGAACCGAACGTGCGATCCCACCAATGGATTCCTCGTCCGGAGAGCAATCCATTGGTGGGGTCACACGTTCGGTTCGAGTCCCATTTAGCAACTCTGGAACTCAAAACGCGTCTGGAGTTTCGGCCGCCTCCACCGGTCTTCTAACCCACTGTGCATCGTCTCTCTCGCACCCGCACGCGATGGACCACGAGCGCGAGAGAGACAGAGCACAGCACTCGCTCCGCGCAGCTCCGCGTAAACAGCGTGAATCACCCGCAGGGCCCGCAGGCGGAGGATGGCCGGTCGCTCTGTCTCTCTCGCACTCGTGCGGACCCCACGGGCCGGCCCATGAGTGCGAGAGAGACGGAGCGACGCCCCTAGCAACGCGCCGGAATCGAACCGGAGTCCCAGAGCGCGCCGAGCGAGCCGTTCGTTTCGCCGCGGCCGCGACAAGCACGCAAGTGGCGGCCCGCCGCGGTCCAGATGCGCGGTTGCTCGCGGGGCACGGCACTGTGGGGCACGGCGCACAGTGGGCCGGAGGCGGACAAAACTCCAGACGCGTTTAGAGGTCCAGAGTCGCTAAACAGGCCTCGAACCGAACGTGTGACCCCACCAATGGACTCCTCGTTCGGAGAGCAATCCATTGGTGGGGTCACACGTTAGTGTTCAGCCCCATTTGGCGACTCTAGAGCTCAAAACGCGTCTAGAGTTTCGTCCGCCTCCACCCGTCTTCTGGCCCACTGTGCGGCGGGCACGGCCAAGCCTTCCCGACCGCAGAACAAAACGGGGCCCATACACACGCGCTGGCTGGGCTGCGCGCTGCGCGCTTCGCCTGGGAATACTACCAGTGTACTACTCCGAGCACCGTTCGCCGATCATGAGCGCGGGAAAAAAATAAAATCATAAAAAGCAAGGCGCCGATCGCGACGGTGTGGTGGAAACTTTCCAGGGCCGCAAAAGGGAACTGTCGTGAGAAATTTTTGAATTTGGAAAGGGTGGTGATTCTTGGCAGACAGACAGACAGACAGACCTACAGCAGACAGACAGACAGACCTACAGCAGACAGACAGACAGACAGACAGACAGACAGACAGACAGACAGACAGACAGACAGACAGACAGACAGACAGACAGACAGGCGGACGTGCGTGGTTCCGTCTTATTTGTCGGGCCGCCACCCTGTAAAATAAAGTAGTTTATCGGCGGGTGACGCACAGCAGCGTGGCGGCCTGGTGCGGCCTGGTGCGGCCTGGACGCGGCGTGGCGGGTTCGGTTGCGATTAGGCCCGTGCGTGCGAGTCTTGTCTGTCCCTGTCTGTCCGTCGGGCCGTCGGGCCTCGGTCCGGGCCTTGGCCCCAACGCCCCGCCGCCCCGCCACCTCGCCGCAGTGCGGTCCAAGGTGACGCAGTGCACGGTGGAGCGCGGAGCGGAGCAGCGCGGCGCTAACAAAAAGCAGTGTATCCACTTTCACAAAAGCGGCCGCCAGCAGCGCCCCTGGCGGCAAGCCGTTGGCAAGCTTGAGTCAAGCGAACGGCCCCAAACGGCCGTCCGTCCGCGCGGACATCTCGCATGACGCGGCGCTGCTGGGAACGCCGTCAGGACGCCGTCAGGGACAAGGACCGTCCCGCTGGTGCCAAAAAACACAAGTCCGTGGGTCCGCCGCGGCGGCGGCCTTACGGGCGGGCCCCTTGAACCGCCGCAGTGCCGCGCCGCGACGAGGCGGCTTTCTCCAACACGCCTCTGGTGCGGCGCCACGCCCTGCCGCCCTGCCGCCCTGCCGCCAGCGGTCCAGGCGTCCCGGCCGTCGCGGAGTCCAGAGGGCAAGCACCTCCGCGGCGCGCGATTCAAAATCGCCGTCGCCGACGCGAGCGAGGACACTGCCTACACTGTAGGCTTGTACAGTGTGCTGGCTGGCGTCGACGGCGTGGGCAGGCCGCGCCGCCGCCACCCTCCTCCGCACCTTGCAGCGCAGCGGCGTGATGCAGTCGGGGGCCGGACCGGCCGGCCGACGAGGGGCATGTCCTCTGGTCACTTTCACCGGGCGGGCCGCGGGCCGGGCCGCACGACCGCCATGTCGCGGGTTGCGGGTTCAAACCCCGCTGCCTTTATACTTTCTGCCGTTCCCTCGCCTTGACGCCGCACTGCGCGGTCCAGAGCGGACCGGAACGCTCTGGCTTCTGGCGGCCGGAGATGGGCCGAACCGCGAAGCACGCCAAGCGCGGCCAGGACCTTGGGCCTTGGGCAGACCTCGGCGAATCCGTTCCGCCCCAGCCTGGAGGCGCCTGGAGGCGCCTGGAGGTTGCCGTCCACGGCAGTCCCGCGCCGCCGACTCGCTCAGGCCCAGACAGACCTCAATTTGCGTTAGATAACCATATACAGTGCCGGGGCGCGGCCATGGCGCGGCCGGCCCGCGAGTTGACCCGTTCATGGGCTGCGCTGGGCTGGGCGCTGCGCTGGGCGCGCCGCTTGCACAACAACGCCTTTGCGACTCACTTGAGGAAGAGGCGCGCTCCACCATTATCATAAGACGGAAGAGAGCAACTACCACGCCGAGGTGCCCCGCCAGCCCCGCCAGCCCCGCCAGCACGCGCCGCCGCCTCCACGTACCTGCACCGTCAACGCAGTGTTGCGGCGCCGCGCCCGCCGCGCGTGCCTGCCAATGAAATGCACCTTGCGGCGCCGGCGTGGGCGTGGCGAGGCGTAGCCGAGATCGCTGGCGGGTCAAACCGCGAGGCAAAAGGTCGCGGGTTCGAAAGCCCACGCCCTGTCGAGTATTTTCTAGAGACCCTCCCGTCAGAGATGCGCAAGCCAGCGCTTGGTAGTCCCGTGGAGTCAAAGGCACCCTGAGTCAGGCTAGCGGGCGACCGCCGTATACCTGCTGTGCCGCACCAGATGCTGACCTGCGTAGCCTCGCGCGGGGCGAATTCGGGCTTCCCGCTCCGCATGGGACTACCAATCGTCTGTGATTGGCTGAGAGGGCCCCCCCTTGCGCATCTCTGACGGGAGGGTCTCTAGTATTTTCCCGTGGTCCACGGCCCCGCCGAGGCGTCGCGTCGAGGGGGGCACTACACTGGCAGGGTGGGGGTGAATCGGATCAGCCCTAATTGCATGGCGACCCCCGCGTGCCCCTCGCTACCCCAAAGCTTCCCCCTTCCCCCGCAGACAAGCCGCGACTGCAAGCCGAGACAGTCGTCTGCCCGCAAAACCGTTACATTATGGAGGTGGGCGGGCTGGCAGGGCTGGCAGGGCTGGCGTCGCCGGGACGGTCCGCCCGTCTACGCCCGTCTCCTGTCGCCACTGTTCATTCCTCACTCAGCCTTCCCATTCCTAGACGAACGGCAGACAGACAGACAGACAGACAGACAGACAGACAGACAGACGGACAGACAGACAGACAGACAGACAGACAGACAGACAGACAGACAGACAGACAGACAGACAGACAGACAGACAGACAGACAGACAGACTGACAGACAGACAGACAGACAGACAGACAGACCGTTCGTCCGGCGATGTGGATTTATGGAAATAGAAGGCAGGACGCGGCCCTAGCGGGGCCATGGCGCCGGGGGTGTGGCTGGAAAAGGCTGGAGGCAGCAAGAGACGCGCCGCCGTCGCCGCCCAGCGTCGCCGTTAGTCGGCCGGCGCGGGTTCGATTACCGGCGGCGGCGCGTTTTTCGTCTTCCTAGCCGGCGGGCCCGGCCTCTAGGCCCGGCCAGTCCCACGACTGCAACACGCGTAAGGCTTACAGCGTGCTTACAGCGTGCTTACAGCGAGCCGGCCGATTGTAAGGTAATGCGGGCCTCATTGTCCCGGACGGCGATTACGGCCAGCCGGTCGCGACGACCGCCAGACCGCCAGTCCATCGCCGCGACGTCGCCGCGACGTCGCCGGGAGGCGGGGCAGTCTCACGCCCGCAAAAAACGGCGAGCCGCGGCCCTGGGATTCGAACCCGCGTCCGTGTGACGCTGCTGAAACGAAAGGACAGAGAGAGGGGACGTACTTTGCGGTTCTGACGAGCTCCATCTTGGCCTCCTCCATGCGCTCCACGTCGACGCTGTCCAGGACGAAGACGATGCCGTCGGTGCAGCGCGTGTACGACTTCCACAGCGGCCGCAGCTTCTCCTGGCCGCCGACGTCCCACACCAAGAAGTTGATCCCCTTGGCCTTGCCGGACTGGCAGCGCACCTTCTCGCAGTTGAAGCCGATGGTGGGCACCGTGTTGAGGTACTGGTCGAACTTGAGGCGGTACAGGGCCGTCGTCTTGCCGGCCGAGTCCAGCCCCAGCATGACTACGTGCAGGGTGCCCTGCGTGGACGGCAGCGCGTCCAGGAGCGACGAGTTCTTGCCCATGTTGGCGCCCATCACCCACACTGGCAAGGAGCTCACGTCGCGGTGCTGGCGGGCGCGGCGGGCGCAGCGACGGCGGGCATAGCACCGTCTATGTTTATCCCTTCGCAGGGGGTGCACAGCGCGGCCAGGCACGGCCAGGCACACTGCGCCGTGGACTGCAGTGGACGGCGGGCTATTTCGGTGGACTTGCCGAAGCGGCCGAGCAGCCAAGCGGCCCAGCTGGCGCGGATTATGATGTTTTGAGAACGAGATGCACTGTGGCACACTGTGGCGGGCACCCACCCTCCCAGCTCAACTCAGGTAAAAGCGGGGAGTGGGCCAGTCCCGAGAAATACACTGCTCGCTTTTAAAAGGCCGAAATTAAACTTGGGCTCACTCTCACTGTTGTCACGTGGTCGGCCACCACTCCAGTACACTGTCACACGACACTGCCACTTGCAGGCTGGCGCTAACGGCCTCGGACACACACACAATCACGCACACACTAGCACAAAGTGTATCCACAGCGTTGGCGGGTGGCTTCAAATCCAGGGGTACCACACGCCGCTGTCCGGGTCGGAGCGCGGAACACTCGAGCAGCCGCGTGCCGACGCGGTGACACGCACCACACACGCACGCCGAAGGCCGAAGCTCGCTGTCCTGCAGCCAGGCTAACCCCGTCGCGGGCGAGCCATTTCGGCGAGGAGCGAACGTGTGGCCCCCTCCGCAGCCAACGAGATACTGGCTGGCTGCCCTGGCGGGGCGGCGGGGGGCCGCGGCAGCGCGGAGCAGCTTCCCCCGCCGCCGCCCGCCCCTCTACCCGCCCCTCGCCCGCCGCGGCCGACTCAAGTTCGGCTCCCCGCCGCCGGAGCGCTAGCTGTCGCGGCGGCCGAACGCAACAGCTTGCGTTGCCAACCTCCGCGCGACAAATCCCGCCGTTTCCCGCGTGTGTCGTCAACCCGGGTGCACCCCGAACACCCCGCACCGCGACCCCGGCTCCGGGAACACCAGGCACCCCTCTGCGGCGACGCCACGCCCCGCGGCCCGCGGGTCAGGTTCGGACTTTGGCGTTGCAAGGTTTGCCGCCCACGCAGCCGCCGCCGCAGCGTCCGATTTTGAATCTGTCCGTTACGCTCCGTTCGCTCCGGCGGCTCCGGCGGCTGAGAGCGGAGGTGGGGACTTTGTTCCGCAGCATCCAGGCCGTCAGGCCGTCGGCAGCCCGTCGCTGTCGCCAAGGCCTGGAAAACCGTGGTGTATTTATGCCCCTGTCGGGTCGGGCAGCCAAATGAATCTGTAACGCACGCCGAGTGCCATGCCAGCCTGGATGCTGGACGTGACCTCAGGCCAGGGTTGCCAACCTGTCCAGTCGGATGACGTTCCTTTCAAATCGCAAAGTTCGACACGTCAGAATGATCTCCAGTTTCATGGCGAAAGTGGCTGGGAATAAAACAAACAGCTTGACCCATTTGACCCCTTGCGTGAATCACCGCTTGTTGTGTCCGATTGTTATCATTCTTTGTGACTGTTAGCTCCGTTTTACAATCCCAATTTACTTTTGTTGTCATTAGTGCATGCTCGTTAGAGGCGTGCGCGATGCCCCGGGCGTGGCGTGGGCCCCATGGGCCCCATGGGCCCCATGGACCGCGTGCTAGTCACGAGGAGTACCGACTACCAGGTACCGGCCGGTCAGCCCCGCCAGCCCCCCGGCCGACGGACACTGATACCCCGACGACACGCACGCTGCCCCCTGTCAACCCTTCGGGCATTGGCCCATCAAGTCGTTTCGGCTCGTAGAAACACTATACGGCCACAATAACGAGGTCTACTCTGTGAAACGCATAAGTGGAAAAATGTTTGTTTTTCGGACCCTGAGGCGCTGAGGCTGCTTGTGCGTCTATGCGACATAGAGCTTACTGCGAAGTCTGGAAGACTCTTTGAAGCCACAACGATCACTGTGGATTCCTTCCATGGAAACAATAAAACCGTCCTACGGGTGCTTTCTTTTTAACTGTGCCTTGAACACCTTTGCTCTAGCCGACCCAGCCTTTCGCCCCAGCTGCGCCAGAGCAGAGCCAAATCATCATCTTTGTGGTAATCGTCTGGTATACTTTTGGAAGTAGAGCGCCGCAGTAGTAGTTGCAGACAGGCAAATGACTTGTGGCGTTTAGGCCCCTGGCCCGGCCGGCCATCTCGGCAGAACGACCCTACCTGCCGTTTAAAGGAATGCCTGCGTGCTAGGGCCAGTCAGCCCTCGGCCTGCCTCGGCCCCAGCCGGGACATAATGGGACGGGACCTGTTTGGAATTATTAATCGGTGCTTGCTAAGGCACGCCAAGCAAATTCGGAAACTGTCCACGTCAGCGCCGCCAGCTCAGTGCTCTGGAAGTCTGGAAGGCCCCGCTGGAGTCTGGAGTCCGTGCTGGAGTGGAGTCCCCGGAGGCCAAAGGGCACAACGGCCGCCCTTTGTTTTGATGCAAAGAGGGCAGCCTGACAGGTAGGTATGCATTAGCATATGCAGCACCGAAAACTCCTTGCTGTTGTTGTTGTTGAATTTGCTGGATCTTAGGACAATCCGGTTGTTGTGAGCATGCCCTTCTGAGTGGCGGCTCTCCCCGCCGTGGAGACTCGAGGGGTGTCAAGAAGTAGAATGGATTGCGCGTGACGCCTCTCAACCCTTTCCCAGCAACCCCCTCCATTGTCCTGTTCCTCACTCCTCTCTCTTCTTCTCTCTCTCACCTCCCTCCTTGGCACATAAACAGCTTCCTCTGGGGTAGAACGGGGCGTGACAGGTGGATCGGAAGTACTATAGGTGTGTGTGTGTGTGTTAGTGAGCAGAGGGGGAATGCACACCACTTTCACACTCACACACTCGCAGTCTCCAGATTTAAATCGGTTCCAATGCCGAAGCTCCGCACAGCAGCTGTCGGGAGGTTCTGCTGTCGATAAAACCGGTGCAAAACACACTACTACTACTCGCGCGCGCACAGGAAGGGGCAGAAGATGAGGAGGAAGGGGAGTAAGTGAGCAAGAAGCACGCGGCCGCCTTGCGGAAGAGAGAAAGATGGAGAGCAGAAAAAGGAAGGCGAAGGCGAATCAATTACTTTCCCTGTAAATCTTGGTTCCGCCGGGGATCGAACCTTATTTGGTACCAGCTGCAGAGCCCAGAGCCCCCGCGGCTGCCCCGGGGCACCAGGAGGAGCCAGGCGGAGCGTAGCGCGGAGCAGGGCGTGCGTGCAGCCCGGGATTGCCTGGGCGCGTCGCGTCTTCGCTCGCATATATTGGATTTTTATCAGGGGCCGATAGAGGGAGGGAGGGAGAGGTACACCAGAGGATCTTTAGTTGTTGTTGTTGCTGCTTGAACGTTGTCACAAGGTGTGCCATGATTGGACACGCAGCGTCAGTTATCATTTATCATCATCAACGATACGTTGCATTCATTGCCATGGGTACCCTCCTCACACACATAGACCCCCCCCCAACACACACACACACACACACACACACACACACACGGGCACTCACACGCGCATTACTCATGTCTATTTAAAATAGAGGTGCGTCATGGGACGGAACGCAGGTCCCCTAAGTACGCCGATTGAGCGCGCAACGGTACCTCGCCGGCTACTCGACTGCAGGGACATACCAGACCGATAAAGTACTGTATCAGCTGGTTGGCGAGGCATTCCCCGTTTTATTGTGGGCTGCTGGCTACCTAACCGATAACCAGGCAAAGTGAACCTAACCTAGAATTCAAATGTCCGTCTCTGCGCGCGGGAGATCCTCTCCGCCTTTCGAAAGCTAGCTGCTGCTCCGTCCGCATAGCGCTTTCCACGAGTACGTCAGCCTTGTAATGAACAACGGCGGACTCACTTTCAAGGAACACGGGGGTCACGGGGGCGCGGCAGGCACAGCCGGGGCACAGCGCGGACAGGCTGGCGAGGCGATTTGCAGCGACGATAGAGTAGCGCCAGCAAGCACTGCAAGCTAATGGCGAGTCGCTCTTGCTTTCGAGGCCTTTCGAGGTTGCCAGCAAGTGCACTGCAAGTGCTCCCTTCACCTCAGCACCCGCGTAGCGCCAGCCAGCCGGCAGACCAGGCGGTGCGGACAGTGGAAAGAAACCGTTCGAATATCGCCAATATCGGTTCCAATTGTTTTTGTTGGGCCGCGCACACTCACGTGAGGGTGGTCCATGGTTCAGGCCTGCCGAACTGGGTCCTGTCGCCGCCCACTGATGCTGCTGTACTACTCGGTTCAAGACTGCTGCCGCAGGACACTTTTCAACTTATTTTTCGGTTCCGGTTTTTGCTTTTGTTTTCTGGGAAGCAACTGAAACACAGTTGTTGCGGGTGTCAAATAGAGGGCGGCGGCCGGGGTTTGATTGACGGGTACCCCTCGCTGTGTCCGAGACAATGAGGCAATCACGGTGAGGGAGAGAGGGGGGAGAGAGGCAGGCAGAGAGTGGGCGAGGTTAGGAACAAATAGTCCGAAACGGGAGAAAGGGACCTGGACGTGGAGACCAAGATGTCACCGACTCGCAAGGTGACGTGCTCTACTTGTTAATTTTCCATTTTTTTTCAAAGTGTGAGAGAAGTGCTTTGAACTGCAGCAGGTTGCTGGCGCAATTTAAGACCGACCCGTCAGCGACTTCATCCTCCACAACATCTTCAGGGGCGGGCGACGTGGCGTCATCAACAAGCTATGCGCTATGGCAAAATCTCGTCTTGGTGTTCGGGGCGACGTAAAGAACCTGAAAGGGATGGGCCTAGGGACCAGGGACCCGGCCCAGGGACCCGAGTCTTGGGTGGTCCGACGGGGCCGCTTCGACATCATCATCAAAGGCCGTGCTGTCGGTGGTCGGCGCAGCGAAGGCGCAGCCATAGCCGAGGCGCAGCGCTGCGGTCAAAGAATCGCTCAGCGCGAGCCGCGCGCCGTGCCTCAGAAGAACCACGCAACTTCCCTGCGAGGAGTGGACGTTGCGTCCTTTCCAGCAGGCCGGGTCCGGTCTAGATAGGCGCGCTACGGTACCAGCGCCGCTAGCGCCCTGCCGCCCTGCACAATGCATATACCGCCAGTCTCAGTGCGCAACAGAGTGAAAGACGCCAGCTGGGGTGTCGCGTTGGTAGGCACAAGCAGACTTGTGGTTCCAGTTGGGCAAAAGTAATCAGCAACAACAAAGTTTAGTTTACTTTACCCTTTTGGTGGCTTATCGCTGAAATAGATCACTGTTAAAAATAATAGGAACATCCTGGAAACCACGTTTCAACAGTGATACCGCCACTGGCTTGCAACAGACTCAGCTGTTTACTTTCCATTACACCGTGGCCGTGGTGACGCAGCCGTGTCGCTATTTGGACGCACACAAAGCGAGAGATATGACAGCGATGAAGCCGCATGGCCCGGCCTGCCCATAATGTTTGCTGTCACATGCCTAAATAGCGGGAGCACACTGGGTGGCCGACTGCTAGCAGTGGCTCATTGGGAGAGTGATGGCATTCCAGCAGGCAGGTAGGGCCCAAAGGCGAGCCCAAAGGTGTCCCAAAGGAGTGCCAAAGGTGTCCCTGCATCGCCCGACCGGCGTGACAAACAGATCCAGGGTATTAGAGCGGTCCGTTTCGAAGACGGCAAAAAGCGCCGTGTTCCGGTTTTAATTGAGCTTCATTACTGTTATTACGACGACACCGCGGGGCAGCGCCGAGGCAGCGCGCTGCGGCGTGCATCCATGATAGCATGTCTGGC